TTGCTTTGAAACTTTTAATGCTATTTCACATCATTACCCCCATCTGTACGCAAGAGAAGGTAACTCTGTCAAGGATTTTGTTTTTAAAAATTAAGGCCTTTTCGACTTAGAATCTTGGTTAAGTTTTTAGTACCAGTCCACTTTTTGACTGAAACTGTTTGAGATATTAATTTGAAAGTTTGGAATACTTGTTTACAATCATGATTCCCAAACATGTCCAGGAGAAGGTAATTCTGTCAAAGATTTTATTTGAATTATGGCCCTTAACTGTCAATGTTTTGTATTATATGGCAAGCACTAAAAAACTTAAAAAATCTAAAAAAATTCACTCCTATCCACTTGTTCACTTTACCATAAATTATGTCATATAAACATTGCTGTAATATTCAAGGGTATCAAACAACTAGTTCACTTTAAAAATACAGAGATTCTTGTATTGCCTTTTACTGCAAAAACTTTTTTTATTGGCAAGCAATAAAAAAGTCGAGCGCGCTGTCTTACGGACAGCTCTTGTTAAAAACGTTTCTGCTACATCTAAATATCTTTAAGTATTATCCGAGCATATGGTCTCATACAATATATTATCACTTGAACCCAATCTGTTACTTTTAAAACTGGTCAATTTTTACGGTATTATAAAAAAGACAAGGAGTGACATCCGCCATTTGCCGCAACGTTCGGCATGAGTTTTCCCCCTTTGGCTATACTTGATTACTCTTTTTTCAGAAGTTTGTTCCCGTTATCGTTGTCAACTATCATGTATCGTAACGGTTTAATGTTTACACTAGTGTTTGACATGTATAGTCGGCATTATAACGGGCGCATTCGTGTTATGATTTGTTTACATGGAGAAAACAGACACTTTAGTAATATGGTCTAATAGTTTTTGCCTAACTGAAAAAAGGAATATTAAAACATGATCCATAGATATATATATTCAAGGCACTAATCTGGTATTCCTTATTAGGAAACCAATGTTTTGAGTGACATAAAGAGAGTACTAGAAAAATTAAAACAAAAATCAAGCATATCAAGGGGGGTAACTTACGCCGAACGTTGCGGCAAATGGTGGATGTCACTCCTTTTCTTTTTGGCTTGCAGCCACGGCTGCAAGCCTATTTGTTTTGGAAAACTTGTTCCGGTTAGGTGGTTTCCTGCTTACATTTGTTAGTGCATGATTGAACGGGAAACCAGTTGCAATCGTGCCAATCGCAACTTTTCGGCCCTTTCCGTTACTCTTCGGATTAATTATAATAGCCGAGGTTGTTCCGATTGCAATCGTGACAACTCGGGCGATTCCGTCATACTGCGGAATCAGACGAAGTAATATTACGGAAATCTAAGCTATTTTAGTTACTTTGGAAATCCGAGTTTGTTTTTCTATTTTTACTTGATTCCGTTTAAATTCTTTTTCAAGACGCAAAAGTTAGTTTCTTTTATAATTGGTTTTTGTCTTTATTAGTGTTATAAAATAGAGAATGGTTACTGTAGTATTATTCCGTCTCCAAAGGGCGGTCCTGCTTACCAAAATATCGTGACCGAATCACGCAGAATATTAGTGCATGGTCAAGTTATATTTAGATCTACTGACATAGTTTAAACGTCTTGCTGAGGTAATCTAAAATAGCCCATGCATATCATTAACCTTACCACGTCCATAGATATTTTAGGTGTAACATAGTTGATACATGCTTATTAATTGGTACCACGTAACGAAGTCTTTTAGTGCATTCACTTGTCTCTAAAGCTGCTATAGAAATGAAATTAGCAACTGCCAAAACGAATGACTCTCTCTGCGAAAAAAGTGGAAATGAAATGTCCTTCAGTACGATAAATTGATCTCGATCAACGTGAGAGCCAATGTTAGTATTTTTACGATTGATTATTTTAATAGAGAATAGATTTCGAATCGTTTTTGACAAAAAATATTCATTTTTACAAAAAAAGTTGCAACTGTTATCGTCATCATGTTCCCGTTCAGTTATAAACAGTGGACTTTTGGTCCCTATATTAATGCATAACCACTGGTGCTCAAACAAATGGGCACAGGTGCTCGTCCAGTCTTGGGCTTACCCTACCTTTTTCGAGAAAAAACTGTATAAACCCTTTATGATATACAAATACCGTAATTCAAAACAAATTGTGATAATAAATTGAAACAAGAAAAAAACCCACAATTTTAAAGGGAATTATTTTAAGGGATGAAGACACACTAAGCAAGCCTTTCCTTTTAAAAGGAAACTTTATTCAATATACCGTAAATTTGACAGATTTTTAAATTAGTAGATTATATTAAATTGAGATAAGATAATTAAAGACCATCCGCTCGTATAATATAAAAAGATATTCAAAGGTCGGACAAACAATATGTAAAGCTGGTACGGATTCGGATTTATGCGCCGCAATATGCGGTCCTGTTCCAGAGTTCCTATGGTATCAGCTTGTCCGTCCGGCTGTCCGGCCATCCGTCGATTTTTTCTTGTCCGCCCATTATCTAAAGATTCCTTTGACACACAGTCTTCATATTTGGCATGGAGGTTAGTCATGACGAGAAGATGACCCCTATTGATTTTGAGGTCACCAGGTCAAAGGTCAAGGTCACAGGGGCCTTGACTTTAAAAAGCTTGTCCGCCCAATAACTTAAGATTCCTTTGACCCACAGTCTTCATACTTGGCATGCAGATTAGTCATGACAAGTAGATGACCCCTATTGATTTTGAGGTCACCAGGTCAAAGGTCAAGGTCACAGTGGACTTGACTTCAAAAAGCTTGTCCGCCCAATAACGTAAGATTCCTTTGACCCACAGTTTTTATATTTGGCATGCAGGTAAGTCCCGACGAGTAGATGACCCCTACTGATTTTGAGGTCACCAGGTCAAGGTCAAAGTCACAGCCGCCTTGAATTCAAAAAGCTTGTCCGTCCGATAACTTAAGATACCTTTGGACCATAGTCTTCATATTTGGCATGCAGGTTAGTCATGACAAGAAGATGACCCCTATTGATTTTGAGGTCACCAGGTCAAAGGTCAAGGTCACAGGGGCCTTGACCTCAAAAAGCTTGTCCACCAAATAACTTAAGATTCCTTTGACCCACAGTCTTCATATTTGGTATGGAGGTTAGTCATGACGAGTAGATGACCCCGTTTGATTTTGAGGTCACCAGGTTAAAGGTCAAGGTCACAGGGGCCTTGACCTCAGAAAGTTTGTCCGCCCAATAACTTAAGATTCCTTTGACCCACAGTCTTCATATTTGGCATGGAGGTTAGTCATGACGAGTAGATTACCCCTATTGATTTTGAGGTCACCAGGTCAAAGGTCAAGGTCACAGGGGCCTTGACTTCAAAAAGCTTGTCCGCCCAATAACTTAAGATTCCTTTGACCCACAGTCTTCATATTTGGCAAGGAGGTTAGTCATGATTAGAAGATGATCCCTATTGATTTTGAGGTCACCAGGTCAAAGGTCAAGGTCACAGGGGCCTTGACATCAAAAAGCTGGTCCGCCCTATAACTTTAGATTTCTTTGACCCACAGTCTCCATATTTGGCTTGGAGGGTAGTCATGTTGAGTAGATTACCCCTATTGATTTTGAGTTCATAAGGTCAAAGGTCAAGGTCACAGCAGCCTTGAATTCAAAATGCTTGTCCGCCCAATTACTTAAGATTCCTTTGACCCACAGTCTTCATATTTGGCATGGAGATTAGTCATGATAAGTAGATGACCCCTCTTGATTTTGAGGTCACCGGGTCAAAGGTCAAGGTCACAGGGACTTTGACTTGAAAAAGTTTGTCAGCCCAATAAATTAAGAAACCTTTGACCCACAGTCTTCATATTTGGCATGAAGGTTAGTCATGATCAGTAGATGACCCCTATTGATTTTTGGGTCAAAGGTCAAAGTCAATGGGGCCTTGACTATAAAATGCTTGTCCGCCCAATAACTTAAGATTCCTTTGACCCACAGTGTTCATATTTGACATGGAGGTTAGTCATGATTACCCCTTTTGATTTTGAGGGTACTGGGTCAAATGTCAACTTAAAGAAATTTTCCCCTCAATTGCTTAAGAATGCCTGTCCACAGTGTATTGATTTTGACATTTTCACATTTGAAGCATGTAGAATACATAACTTAGAATGCCCTGGCTCAGATTTGGCAGAGACGTTGTCCTTGAGCTCTAAATGGCCACTGTTGAGTCTGACAAAGTGGTATGCGGGGGTATTCACGCCATAACAGTGGCAGTTCTAGTTTAAGTTTGAAATTCCTAACCCAAGTAATATGTCCAGGAGATTCTCTTGTCAACTGTTGAAAAACCATTAGACCAATATCGTTGCCAATTCGATTTTGTACCACTTTAGATGATTTTCTTTGAACATTATAAGGCCTAAAGCCCTAACCCAAGTATTATGTCCAGGAGATTTCCGAGTGGCTTGGTAATTTTTTTGCACTGCGATATAAATATCGGTAAAAACATCATTTTCACGAGCCTAACTTTCAAAAATCATTTGACCAATTTCCGTGCTAATTTGATTTTGTACAACAATGGAGGGTCCTCTTAACATGTTTTAAGTTTGAAAGCCCTAACCCAAGTAATATGTTCAGGAGTTGTCCGCGTGGCTTTGTTTTTTTGGCACTGCGATATGTTCTTTCTCTATATAAATTTCGGAAAAAAACATCATTTTCACGAGCCTAACGTTCAAAAATCATTTGACCAATTGCGTTGCAAATTTGATTTTGTAAAACTATGAAGGGTCTTCTTAACATATTTAAAGTTTCAAAGCCCTTACCCAAGTAATATGTCCAGGAGATTTCCGCTTGGCTCGGTTATTTTTTGGCACTGCAATTTGTTCTTTCTCTATATAAATTTCGGAGTTTACACAATTTTCACGAGCCTACCGTTCAAAAAATTATCTGACCAATTATGTTGCAAATTTAATTCGGCTACTTTTAAAACACACACAAAAAAGTATGTTGCCATGTTTGTTCAAATGGTAGTAAATCGGCTTGGAAGTAGCTGGATACCGGCAGCAGCAAAGGATGGTAAAAAGGTCCTGCTTATCTACTTCCAACGAAACCATTTATTTTGTACAGCAAACAGTGACATCTTATGTAACTGTTTTTTCCCTTCGCCAAAGCAACCAATAATGTTTTCACATGTGCACTATTTCATATACAAATATGAACTTTGTGATATCAGTTTAAGATTTAAATTTTACATCTGCTTTTATTGATAGTTTACAATACCAGTATAACTTGTTTCTTGTCATGGAGAGTTTTGATATTCAGGTGAGCGATATTAGGGCCATCATGGCCCTCTTGTTAAAAATGAATGATGTGTTTGAACATTTCATGCTGGTGATAGTGGATTGAATTACTAACTACCAGCTGTTAAATAGTTGGGTATTACAAACAACCAGCTTGTAGGTAATTGGTTATTGGAATATCCAACTACTTACTACCATCAAAATTAACGCTTAATGGCCACATCATTGAATATGTTTAGTAACACATAGTTACGTAACTGTACCTTCTGTATCTCGTTACACGAACTTCCTTTTTACATGTAAAGTTTGTGTTTTACACAGTCAGTATTGAAATATGAAAATGTTGAAGTGTAAATTTATCGTTTTAATTTTTTTTTACATTTAACATATGCATGGTCGGTTTTCAATAGACAGGTTCGTATACACTAGGTTAAATTAAACCTAATACCACATGCATTTTGATAATTGTTTATCTAACCATTTGAAATTTAAACATGCTGGAATTTTGTTTGTTTGGATTATTGTTGATTCTTGTGACATTTTTGTTTATCAGAAAAGGTGAGCGGAGAGTGGGCAATGTAATCCCTGGACCAAAGGGCCTTCCTTACTTTGGGAGCCGTTTTGAAATGAATTTCCTCAATATGTATGGAAAGTGTATCAATTATGCTAAGACTTATGGGGATATTTTTCAGGTCAAGCTTATGAGTAATCGAATAATTGTAATAAATTCTGAGCGATTATTCCGATTGGCAACGACAGGGGAGGAATATAAGCTATATCTTAATGATAGGCCAGCTTCATTTTATGGAGAAACGTTTTTGAATGGATCACAATGGGCTTCACTTCATACAAACGGGTCAATCAAGGAGCATGCTCCATACAGGAAAATGTTTGCAAGATTCATTAGGGATGCTAAGGCCGAGGAAAGACCTCTGTTACTGGACAAGATATCATGCAAAAAAGGTGTTGATTTCGAGATTGTTTCAGAGCTGAAAAGCTCCTTGGCAACGACAATTTGTAGCATAGTTAGTATCTAGAACATATTTACACGTTCTATTTCTTCTTTTTACGTATGTCTGTACGCATACGTGATACGCTGTATACATCATAGGAACTCGAGAACGGGACCGCAGATTGCGGCGCATATTTTCGATCGTGTAACGGTTTTTAAAAACGTTTCTGCTACATCTAAATATCTTTAAGTATTATCCGAGCATATGGTCTCATACAATTTATTATCACTTGAACCCAATCTGTTACTTTTAAAACTGGTCAATTTTTACGGTATTATAAAAAAGACAAGGAGTGACATCCGCCATTTGCCGCAACGTTCGGCATGAGTTTTCTCCCTTTGGCTATACTTGATTACTCTTTTTTCAGAAGTTTGTTCCCGTTATCGTTGTCAACTATCATGTATCGTAACGGTTTAATGTTTACACTAGTGTTTGACATGTATAGTCGGCATTAAAACGGGCGTATTCGTGTTATGGTTTGTTTACATGGAGAAAACAGACACTTTAGTAATATGGTCTAATAGATTTTGCCTAACTGAAAAAAGGAATATTAAAACATGATCCATAGATATATATATTCAAGGCACTAATCTGGTATTCCTTATTAGGAAACCCATGTTTTGAGTGACATAAAGAGAGTACTAGAAAAATTAAAACAAAAATCAAGCATATCAAGGGGGGTAACTTACGCCGAACGTTGCGGCAAATAGCGGATGTCACTCCTTTTCTTTTTCAATATACCGTAAATTTGACAGATTTTTAAATTAGTAGATTATATTAAATTGAGATACGATTATTAAATACCATCCGCTCGTATAATATAAAAAGATATTCAAAGGTCGGACAAACAATATGTAAAGCTGGTACGGATTCGGATTTATGCGCCGCAATATGCGGTCCTGTTCCAGAGTTCCTATGGTATACATATATTTGGTATGGTTGTACATGTGTATGTTAACGTGTTTAAATTCAATTTTCTCTCTTACATTTTACAAAGCTTCGCCTGCCATCGCCGCCATGATTAAACTAAATATAGCCAAATCTTCTGCTTTCTTGTCAGAATCGCAGTTTTACCTGGCTGGTGTAATACATTATATTTTGCCTGTTTTTCTCTTTTCAGACATCCTACAGCATACAATTTTAAATGAAGAAGACAAATGTCATTAGCATAAACGAATAACATTTATTTCTTTTTGCAATAACAATGAATTATGATTATTAAATCAGTATGTTTATATCAGTAGTAGGAGGAGTAATTATTTTACGATTGTTCTCAGCACTTTGTTTGTTTTTTATGCCCCCATTTCGAAGAAAAGGGGGTATATTGCTTTGCACTTGTCGGTCCGTCGGTCCGTCGGTCCGTAGACCAAATGGTTTCCGAGTGATAACTAAAGAACCCTTAGGCCTAGGAACTTCAAACTTGGTATGGTGATTGGTCATGACCAGTAGATGACCCCTATTGATGTTGGGGTCAAGGGGTCAAAGGTCAAGGTCACATTGACCTTGTAAGCAAAAACGGTTTCCAATCAATAACTAAAGAATCTTAAGGCCTAGGAACTTCAAACTTGGTATGGTGATTGGGCATGATCAGTAGATGATCCCTATTGATTTTGGGGTCAAGGGGTCAAAGGTCAAGGTCACATTGACCTTGTAAGCAAAAACGGTTTCCGATCAATATCTAAAGAACCTTAAGGCCTAGGAACTTCAAACTTGGTATGGTGATTGGTCATGATCAGTAGATGATCCCTATTGATTTTGGGGTCAAGGGGTCAAAGGTCAAGGTCACATTGACCTTGTGGGTAAAAACGGTTTCTGATCAATAACAAAAGAACCCTTAGGCCTAGGAACTTCAAACTTGGGATGGCGATTGGTCATGACCAGCAGATGACCCCTATTGATTTTGGGGTTAAGGGGTGAAAGGTCAAGGTCACATTGACCTTGTAGGTAAAAACGATTTCTGATCAATAACGAAAGAACCCTTAGGCCTAGGAACTTCAAACTTGGTATGGTGATTGGTCATGACCAGCAGATGACCCCTATCGATTTTGGGGTTAAGGGGTCAAAGGTCAAGGTCACATTGACCTTGTAGGTAAAAACGATTTCCGATCAATAACAAAAGAACCCTTAGGCCTAGGAACTTCAAACTTGGTATGGTGATTGGTCATGACCAGCAGATGACCCCTATTGATTTTGGGGTTAAGGGGTCAAAGGTCAAGGTCACATTGACCTTGTAGGTAAGAACGATTTCCGATCAATAACGAAAGAACCCTTAGGCCTAGGAACTTCAAACTTGGTATGGTGATTGGTCATGACCAGCAGATGACCCCTATTGATTTTGGGGTTAAGGGGTCAAAGGTCAAGGTCACATTGACTTTGTAGGTAAAAACGGTTTCCAATCAATAACAAAAGAACCCTTAGGCCTAAGGACTTCAAACTTTGTATGGTGATTGGTCATGATCAGTAGATGACCCCTATTGATTTTGGGGTCAAGGGGTCAAACGTCAAATTCGCATTGACCTCTTAGGTAAAAACGGTTTCCGTTCAATAACTAAAGAACCCTTAGGCCTAGGAACTTCAAACTTGGTATGGTGATTTGTCATGACCAGAAGATGACCCCTATTGATATTGGGATTAAGGGGTCAAATGGCAAGGTCACATTGACCTTGTAGGTAAAAATGCTTTCAAATCAATAACTTAAGAACCCTTTGGCCTAGGAACTTCAAACATGGTATGGTGATTGGTCATGACCAGCAGATGACCTATTGATTTTGGGGTCAAGGGGTCAAAGGTCAAGGTCACGTTGACCTTGTATGTTAAAACGGTTTCCGATCAATTAACTAAAAACACTTAGGCCTAGGAACTTCAAACTTTGTATGATGATTGGTCGAGACCAGCAGATGACCCCTATTGAGTTTTGGGTCAAGGGGTCAAAGGTTAAGGTCATGACCAGTAGATACTTGATAACCCTTATTAATTGTTTGATCACTGGGTCAGAAGTCATGCATAATAACCTTATCACATGACTAATTGGCTGCTGATAGGGGGCATACATGTTTTAAAAACATATCTTGTTTAAGTTGATTGGCAATGATTTTAATGAGCGTGATCCAAAATTGGTGGAAGAGTTAATGGATATTACGGATTACCTTTTGCCATCATCCGACGTGAATGACGCAGTACAGGCATACCCCTGCTTACGCATTTTTACACCAACATATAACGTTATGTTTCAACGAGCTTCCGCAATAAAGTACGCCATAATGAATGTGTATGTCAAACCACAGAAGGTAAAGAATTTCAGAATTGTTTATATTATAAAGTTATCTTATGGTATACAAGAACGATAGTATATAATCAATATTTGTGTCGCCCCTAGAGAGTATTGGCGGTATATAGGAATCACTTCTCCGTCGTCTGTCTGTATGATCATCCGTCACAAAAGTTGTCCGGACAACTCCTCAAAACCTACCGGTGCAATTTCATCCAAATTTTACAGGAATGACCAGTACCAAGCCTAATTGTACATTATATCTGAATTTTTCGGTTCAATGATTTTTTTCAAAGTTATTTCCCTTTAATGATTTTTATCTTTTAAGTGAGTCCAGATTTCTCCTCTCATGTAACTGATGCAATTTCAATGAAACATTACAGGATTGATTGATAGCTCTAGCACTAGTGCATATTACAAGAGTTTTCCCCTTGAATGACTTTTGGCCGAGTTAAGGTTCTTGAATAAAAAAGGTTGTAATAAAGTTTGTCCGGACTACTTCTCTTATACCATTTATTCAATTTCAATGAAACAGGATTGACAAATATAGCCCAAGTTTGTTACAGAGGTTTCCGCTTCAATGATATTTGCCCGAGCAATAGCCAATGGCATTGAATAAAAAAGATGTTATTTTTTGTGCTGTCATACGCAGTAGCTTATCTGGACTACTCCTCAAAAGCTACTGGTATAATTTCATTCAAACTCAACAGGAATGATCAATACAAAGTCTAGTTGTGCATATTATCGGCATTTTTGGACAATTTTTTTTTTTGCAATTTCAATAAAACTTAACAGGGATTATCGGTAGCTCAAATACTTGCGCACATTTCATGGTTTTTAATGTTAAATGATTTTTTTGCTGAGTTATGGCCCTTGAATAAACACGCGTATTTTTCCTGTTAATATTTTGTGTGTTTCCTGTTATACAGTTGCTGCAATATGCAACTGGTTTCATGAGGCGACACATATGATCACTGATTGCTCTTATTGCATCAAAAATCTACTCAAAACATTACCCGCTATTAGTATATGCAATTAAACATATTCTATATATTATGTGATGAAAATAAACTAAACTGAGAAACTGAAAAATGCAGACTGATTTAAGTGTGAATAACCACATAATGGATTATTTATTATCTCATCAAAGCTGTAGTGCAATGTGTTACTGAATGTAAATAATATTTCCACGTTGCAGGAAAAGTTTGTACCCGGTGTTGTCGGAGGAATAGTGGATCAGTCCCTACAAGAACAAATGGAAGACATAAAAGCTGGCCGGGAACCACTTCTCACCGACGATAAAATATTTTATCAAGTGTTAGAAGTAATGGAAGCAGGCAAGACAGGTTATGCCAACAAAGATATTAAAAATAATGTTGACTGTTTCATCGTCAAAATAATGCTCTATTGCCTCATAGATAAATATTGTCTTAATTATTGAATTTTGACAATTACCTATTTACAATAGTGCTATAACAATTCCATTGAATTTGGAAAATTAAAATATTGTATAGCATAGTGTCCTAAATTTGAACCTGTCCTAGAGTCAATATCATTTCTATATCTGCCCAATGTCTTATATTTTCGATCCTTGAAGATCGTTCAGCGCGACATTATTGTTGTGCTTGTGGTATTTTTAGTTTCAACTTTTCGGCATTTTCTAGTTGGGTGGTTCCAATATTCCTTCTTGAATAATGTTGAATCACCCTTAGGATATGTTGCCTGCTTTTTAAATTTGTCTTTTGACGTCTTATCTGTGATACGCAGGCTTCATAACCTCTGATCCCCTTTCAAAATTCCATTTTATTTAGTTCCGCCCATTGTTTTCTCGTTTAGGGCACACGCTTTTTATTACTTGGGGACCATACGCCGCTTTTAATGGAATAGCACGGAAGTGTCACATTGAAGGTTCCATGATAACCGCCGTATGAACACATCTGCGGATGTTTCTAAATTCAAAATTCTACTATTTCATGTTTAAATGTTGAATTCTGCTTAAGCCGGTGCTAGGGGGTGTGAACGGTAGTATTGCACTTTCCAGTACCGTCCATGAACAGGCTCAATCAAACCGAGCCTGCAACATTTTCAATTTTGCCGTGTTTGGGCTTTCTTTAGGGATTCTGTATTTATCTATTGTTAGATGTCCATATATTGCCGTGATGATCATTTTAAAATTTTGGTAGAAATTTGATACCCGACTTTGCTGTTCAAACTTTAAAATATCAACAGGTTTGGTAGCATGGTGGACTTTCCTGTCAAATGCGCTTCTCTGTCTGCTAAATCATCCAGAATATCAAGACAAAATGTTTGAAGAACTAGAGCGAGTTGTAGGGCATGAAAGGGATGTAAAACTGAGTGATAAATCTCAGTGTCCATTTACTGAGGCGGTTGAGCTATCTACCAATTGTTCCTTTCATAGTTGACATAAACTTTGAAGGGTACGATATACCAAAAGACAGTATAGTAAGTTACATTATTTATTGTTATGCCCCCACTTCGAAGAAAAGGGAGTATATTGCTTTGCACTTGTCGGTCCTTCCCGTCCGTCGGTCCGTAGACCAAATGGTTTCCGAGTGATAACTAAAGAACCCTTAGGCCTAGGAACTTCAAACTTGGTATGGTAATTGGTCATGACCAGTAGATGACCCCTATTGATTTTGGGGTCAAGGGGTCAAAGGTCAAGGTCACATTGACCTTGTATGTTAAACGGTTTCCGATCAATAACTAAAGAACGCTTAGGCCTAGGAACTTCAAACTTGGTATGATGATTGGTCATGACCAGCAGATGACCCCTATTGATTTAGGGGTCAAGGGGTCAAAGGTCAAGGTCACATTGACCTTGAAGGTAAAAAGGTTTCCAATCAATAACTAAAGAACCCTTAGGCCTAGGAACTTCAAACTTGGTATGATGATTGGTCATGACCAGTAGATGACCCCTATTTATTTTGGGGTTTTGGGGTCAATGGCATAGTGACTTTGTACTTAATGACCGTTTCTGACCAATAACTCAACAACTCAAGTTGCCTTGGTTGATATTTTTATGGGCTTTTGGTATACACATTTGAAGGTCTTATGTAATATAACAACTTGGCTGTCATTAATGAGGCCTATGTGATTCATAAAATTTATGTATATATTATTTGGTAAGATTTTTAATAACTTTAATAGCTGCACACAACCTATGGGGTCACAATAATTATTACCTTGTGACTAGTCATGACCAGTAGATACTAGATAACTCTTATTAATTGCTTGTTCACTGGGTCAGAAGTCATGCATAATAACCTGATCACATGACAAATTGGCTGCCGATAGGGGGCATACATGTTTTACAAACATATCTTGTTTCTTCTTGTTTTCATTTATGAACTTGTCTTTTGAAAGCTTGTGGTTTGACTCTATAGAAATTAGATTAAAAGAGGAAATCGTTTAATTATGTTTCTACATGCATGTATGAAATACATCTGCAAATATTTACATGAAGACGATATTTTCAGGAGGTAGTTCCTTCCAGAAGTATTCTCCGGGTTCCATTCCGCATAATCTAACATAAAGCGGAACGGGTACCTCGCAACTGTTGCGGGAGAACATTTCCGATTTAGGAATTACCTTCTACATGTAGACTCTTTCTTAAGATACAGGCACATAGGACTTAGTGTCTGATGTCAGTCTTGGAGCATAAGGCCATTCAGAAGTACATGTATGTAAAATCCAGTTGTTTGCATGTGTGCTCGACCCATTTGGTTTCTTTTTGTGTCACCTCTACGGAGTAGTTGCGACATATAGGGATCACTTATCTGTCGTCTTTTTGTCCGTCCGTTACGAAACTTGTCCGGAATTCTCCTCATAAACTACTGGTGCAATTTCATCAAATCTGAGTACCAAGTCTAGTTTTGCATATCGTCAGCATTTTCCGGTTTATTGTTTTTTGTCAGCGTCATGGGCCTTAAATAATATTTATTATGTCTCCCCCACCTCGGGGGGAGACATGTTGTTTTTGCCCTGTCCGTCAGTCCGTCCGTCCGTCAGTCCGTCCGTCAGTCCGTCCGTCCATTCTTCGTTTCCGGACGATAACTAGAGTTCCTTTTGACCTACAGCCCTCAAACTTCATAGGATGATTGGTCTTATAGAGCTGATGATCCCTATTGTTTTTGGGGTCAGTAGGTCAAAGGTCAAGGTCACAGTGACCGTTGGTCAATTTCTCGTTTCCGGATGATAACTAGAGTTCCTTTAGACCTACAGACCTCAAACTTCATAGGATGATTGGTCTTATTGAGCAGATGATCCCTATTGTTTTTGGGGTCAGTAGTTCAAAGGTCAAGGTCACAGTGACCTGTTGGTCAATTTCTCGTTTCCGGATGATAACTAGAGTTCCTTTTGACCTACAGCCCTCAAACTTCATAGGATGATTGGTCTTATAGAGCAGATGATCCCTATTGTTTTTGGGGTCAGTAGGTCAAAGGTCAAGGTCACAGTGACCGTTGGTCAATTTCTCATTTCCGGATGATAACTAGAGTTCCTTTTGACCTACAACCCTCAAACTGGGGGGAGACATATTGTTATAACTAGAGTTCCTTTTGACCTACAACCCTCAAACTGGGGGGAGACATATTGTTTTTGCCCTGTCCGTCCGTCAGTCCGTCCGTCCGTCAGTCCGTCCGTCCATTCTTCGTTTCCGGACGATAACTAGAGTTCCTTTTGACCTACAGCTCTCAAACTTCATAGGATGAATTGTCTTATTGAGCAGATGATCCCTATTGTTTTTGGGGTCAGTAGTTCAAAGGTCAAGGTCACAGTGACCGTTGGTCAATTTCTCGTTTCCGGATGATAACTAGAGTTCCTTTTGACCTACAGCCCTCAAACTTCATAGGATGATTGGTCTTATAGAGCTGATGATCCTTATTGTTTTTGGGGTCAGTAGGTCAAAGGTCAAGGTCACACTGACCGTTGGTCAATTTCTCGTTTCCGGATGATAACTAGAGTTCCTTTAGACCTACAGACCTCAAACTTCATAGGATGATTGGTCTTATTGAGCAGATGATCCCTATTGTTTTTGGGGTCAGTAGTTCAAAGGTCAAGGTCACAGTGACCGTTGGTCAATTTCTCGTTTCCGGATGATAACTAGAGTTCCTTTTGACCTACAGCCCTCAAACTTCATAGGATGATTGGTCTTATAGAGCAGATGATCCCTATTGTTTTTGGGGTCAGTAGGTCAAAGGTCAAGGTCACAGTGACCGTTGGTCAATTTCTCATTTCCGGATGATTTCAATAGTGTAAAAAAATCTGACAATATGAACGTTTGTTTCAAGTATCATCAAAATCCTTTAAAGGTTTGAAGAATTATGGAGCAGACACAATTTCATTTAATTTCATTTGTGAAACTATATATGATATGACCATCAAGTGCAATTTCGTTTGACGCCCGCCTGCCATACGCTGATTGAATAACCAGGATTTTCTAAATTGAATACCTGGTTAAAAACAAACAGTTTAGGAAGCATCTTCTCATACAACCTTAACAATAGAAACCATCCATAGACAGCCTTCATTGAAGTGACTACCGGGTATTTACATTATCTTATCTCCATTTCCATTCCTGTTTCCATTCACAGTTATTCTCAGCAGTGGGGGAGACATGCGCTTTTTTACAAAAGCATCCTCTAGTTTCTAAAGTTTGTCCGGACTACTACTGTTATACCACTTATGCAATTTTAATGAAACTTAACACGCTTGATCTTTAGCTAAAGTCCTTGTTTTCCAGTTGAATTATTTTTGGCTGAGTTATGGCCCTTGAATACAAAAATTTTTTTGGTGTATTGCCAGATACTCGAATGCATGTCCGAACTAATTCTAAAAAACTACTTGTGAAATATCATCCAAACTTTACAGGAATAATAGGAATAATATATATAATTGGTTTTTTTATGGTTCAATGATTTTTGTCAGAGTTATGACCCTTTAATTATTTTCATTTTTTAAATTTTGCCCGGTCTACTCTTATTATTCCAGTAACTTAAGAATCCTTTGACCCAATGTCTTCATATTTGGCACGGAGGTTAGTCATAATTAGTAGATTAACCCTATTGCTTTAGAGGTCACCAGTCTTCATAATTGGCACAAAGGTTGGTCATGACCATTTTGTGACCAATGTTGATTTTGAGCTTACTGGGCTCACTAGGCTCTTAAGTTCCAAAAGCTTGGCCGCTCAATTGCTTAAGAATGTTTTGGTCAACAGTCTTTATATTTAGTATTGAGGTTGGCAATGACTACTAGATGACCCTTTTTGATTTTGATGTCACTAGGTCAAAGGTCAAGGTCAGAAGGACCTTGACTAAAAAAAGCTTATCTGCCCAATAACTTATGAATCCTTTGATTCACAGTCTTCATATTTGGCATGAAAGTTTACCATGACCATTTAGTGACACTTATTGATTTTGAAATCACTGGGACAAAGGTCAATATCACAGGGGCCTTTAGTTCAAAAAGCTTGTCACCTCAATTGCTTAAGAATGCTTTGGTCAACAGTCTTCATATTTAGTATTGAGGATGGATGGCTATTAGATTAAATTTTTTTATTTTAAGGGGACTGTGTCAATGGTCAAGGTCCCAGAGGCTTTTACTACAATAAGCTTGTCTGCTCGAATGCCTGTCCACAGTGATCAAAGGTAAAGGTCACTTTAACTTTGCCACTAACAACAAGAAGAATACATAACTTAGAAATGCACTAACTTACAACTCTCAGATTTGGCAGGGAGGTTGTCCTTGAGCTCTAAATAAACAATGTTGATTCTGTCAAAGTGGTTTACGGTTTTCACCCCATGAGAGAAGCAGTTCTATTTTTTTCTATTTTTTATTTACTGTATATTGATATAATAATAAAATTATAAAAATTCAAAATTTCACCTTTTCATGTTTAAATCTTGAATTCTGCTAGAGCCGGTGCTTACGGGCGTGGACAGTAACTTACACTTTCCAGTACTGTCCATCAACATGCTTAATCAAACCAAACCTGCAACAGTATCAATTTTGTCGTTTTTGGCGTACTTTAGGAAATCCGTTTTCTCTTTAAGATACTTGGAAATATATGGTTAATTCATTATAATGAAACTATATTCGAAGATCCATGGAAATTTAGACCGGAAAGATGGCTTGACGAAGATGGAAAACTGGTAAACAAGAACCATGTGTACAGAAAAAAGTAAAATAGATATTTTAGTATTTTTATCAGCATCAAGATAAACTAATTTCATCCTTATAGATGTAATTAAAGATATTTTTATCCCCCGCCGAAAATTTTCGGCGGAGGATATAGTAATAGTCTCCGTCCGTCCGTCCGACCTTCCGTCCGTCCGTCCTTCCGTCCGAAATTTTTGTCCGGAGCATATCTCTAAAAGTATTTGAGTTATCAACTTGAAACTTCATAGGTGGATAGACCTCATTGAGAAGGAGTGCAGTGCACAAGAATGATAACTCTACCTTGCATGATTTTTGAGTTATTGCCCTTTGTTATTTTTCAAAATTGATTTTTGTCCAGAGCATAACTCCAAAAGCCTATGAGATATTAACATGAAACTTCATAGGTGCATAGATCTCACTCAGGAGGTATGCAGTGCACAAGAATGATAACTCTTCCTTTCATAATTTTTGAGTTATTGCCCTTTGTTATTTTTCATACCTAATTTTTCACCTGAGTGGAGCATAACTCAAAAAAGTGTTTGAGATATCAACATGAAATGTCATAGAAGGATAGATCTTATTGAGGAGAAATGTTGTGTGCAAGAATGATAACTCTTCCCTATACAATTTTTGAGTTATTGCCCTTTGTTGTTTTTTTTCATGCTATTTTGTCCAGAGCTTATCTGAAAAAGTATTTGAGGTATTCATCTTGAAACTTCATAGGTGGATGGATCTCATTGAGGAGGAGTGCAGTGCTAAAGAATGATAACTCTGCCCTGCATTATTTTTGAGTTTATTGCCCTTTGTTATTTTTTCAAAATTAATTTTTGTCCAGAGCATAACTCAAAAAGCCTTTGAGATATCAAAATGAAACTTCACAGGTGCATAGATCTCACTCAGGAGGTGTGCACTGCACAAGAATGATAACTGTACTTTTTATAATTTTTGAGTTATTGCCCTTTGTTTTTTTTTCATACTTAATTTTTCAATTCAATTTTTTTTCTCAAAAAGTATTTGAGGTATCAACTTGAAACTTCATAGGTGGATAGATTTTACTGAGGGAGGGATGCAGCACACAAGGATGATAACCTACCCTGCATTATTTTTCAGTTATTGCCCTTTGTTATTTTCAGCCATCAGTATCACATAGGTTTCAAATCTGTAATCACTATAGCCATCAGTTTTCATTACCAAAAGACCTCTTAAAATGGAATTATTCTGCTCTACTACATATACATTCTTCCAACGAGCAAACACATTCGGCGGGGGATGGCCATGTTGACATGGCTCTTGTTAAATTTTTAAAGTACCCTAGTTGGTATCACGGATAATAACGTATTATATGTTGTTATTATGCACCCACCTTCGAAGAAAGGGGTATATTGTTTTGATAATGTCGGTTTCCGCTATTATCTTAAATTTTTATCACAAAGTCTTCATATTTCACAAACCGATTTGTCATAAGTAGTAGATGGGTGTTTCTTTTGGGTCACTAGGTCAAAGTAAATGTCACAGTGACCTTAAATGCCAGAAATAGTTTCCCGTCATTATTTTAAAATTATTTATCACAGTCTTCAAATTTCACATACGGCTTAGTCATATACAGTAAATGACCCCTATTGATATTGGGGTCACTAATTCAAAGGTCAAGGTCACAGGGACCTTAAATGTCAGAATTGTTTCCGCCCATTATCTTGAAAACTATTTAACACTTAGTCTTTATATTTCATATACTGATTTGTTATAACTAATACATGACCCCTATCGATTTAAGGATCTGTTTTTAGCTCACCTGTCACAAAGTGACAGGGTGAGCTTTTGTCATCGCTTTTCGTCCGTCGTCCGTCCGTCGTCCGTAAACTTTTACTTTAAATGACATCTCCTCATAAACCACTAGGCCAATTGAAGAAATTTTTTTAAATATCTTCTTTTAAAAAACCCTAAGAGCTAGAGCTAAGATATTTGGCATGAAACATCTTCTAGTGAGTGTCTACCAAGTTTGTTCAAATAAAAGCCCTTGGTCAAAATTGGCCTCGCCCCAGGGGGTCATTGATTTTCCCTATATGCATATAGTAAAAACTTAAAAAATCGTCCTTTAAAGAACCCAAAGAGCTAGAGCTAAGATATTTAGCATGAAACATGTTCTAATGAGTGTCTACCAAGTTTGTTCAAATAAAAGCCCTGGGGTCAAAATTGGCCCCGCCCCAGGGCGTCATTGATTTTCCCTATATGCATATAGTAAAAACTTAAAAAATCTTCTTTTAAAGAACTCAAAGAGCTAGAGCTAAGATATTTAGCATCAAACATGTTCTGATAGGTGTCTACCAAGTTTGTTCAAATAAAAGCCCTGGGGTCAAAATAGGCCCCGCCCCGGGGGTCATTGATTTTCCTTATATGTGTATAGCAAAAACTTAAAAAATCTTCTTTGAATAAACCCAAATAGTTAGAGTTTAGATATTAAGCATGAAACATCTTCTAGTAAGTGTCTACAAAGTTTGTTCAAATAAAAGCCCTGGGGTCAAAACTGGCCCCGCCCCAGGGGTGTCATTGTTTTTAACTATAATTTTATGTGTATAGTAAAAACTTAAAAAAATCTTCTTTTAAAAAGCCCAATGAGATAAAGCTTAGATGTTTAGCATGAAACATCTTCTTATGGGTGTGGGGGGAGGCTATATACAGGTGAGCGACCTCAGGGCCATCATGGCCCTCTTGTTCTGTCTATCTGTTCATCTGTAGACCACATTGTTTCCGCTCATTATCTGAAAAAATGTTTATCACAAAGTCTTCATATTTCACATACTGAGTGGTCATAACTGTTAAATGACCCCTATTGATTTTGGGTTCAAAGGTTAAGGTCACAGGGCTTTAAATGTCAGAATGGTATCCCTTAAAAACTATCACAAAGTCTTCATTTATCACATATTGCTTTGTCATATGCAGTAGATGACCCTATTGATTTTGGTTCTCTAGCTAGTTCATTATCTTGTAAACTAATTATGTCCCCCCTTCAAAGAAGTGGGGTATATTGCTTTGCATTTGTCTGTCAGTCGGTCCGTTGGCCAAATGGTTTTCGATCAATAACTTAAGACCCCATGGGCGTAGGAAATTAGTATGGGGATTATGACTAGTACATGACCCCTATTGATTTTGGGGCCGAGGGTCAAAGGTCAAGGTCACATTGATCTTGTAGGAAAAAACGGTTACTGATCAATAACTTGACAACCATTAAGTTGTTAGTCTTCAAACTGCATAGGTACATTAGTCTTGGCCATTAAATGACCCCTATTGATTTCGAGGTCAAGGGGTCAAATGTCAAGGTCACATTGACCTTGAAGGTAAACACGGTTTCCGATCAATGACTTGATAACAGATCGGTCCTTGGCCCTCAAACTGCACAGGTGCATTGGTCTTGGCCAGTAGGTGACCCCTATTGATTTTAGGGTCAGGGGGTCAATGATTAAGGTCACATAAACCATGTCAAACAGTTTCTTATCATTAACTCAACAACGCATGGACCTTGACATTTAAACTTCACAAATGCATTGCTTTTGGTCAGAAGATGACCTCAATGGATGTTTTGGGGTCAAGTGTCAGAAGTCAAGATCACAATGACCTAATGGGTAAAAACAGTTTCTGATCAATATCTCGAAAACACATGGGCCGTTTACATTCAAACTTCACAGGTGCATTGAACTTGGCCAATAACCCCTATTGATTTAAGAGTCAAAGGTCAAAGTAGCATTGACCTTGTACGTCAAAAAGGTTTCTGACCAATAACTCAACAACACAAGTTGCCTTGGTTGATATTTTTAACTCACCTGAGCTAACTCAGGATGAGCTTTTAGGATCGTTGAATGTCCGTTGTCCGTCGTCTGTCGTCTGTCGTCCGTCGTCCGTCCACACTTGTTCGTTAACACTCTAGCGGTCACATTTTTGCCTCAATCATCATCAAACTTTGTCAGGATGCTTATCAAGATAATAGCTCAGATGAGTTCGAACATGGGTCATCTCGGATGTAAAACTCGGTCACAGGAGCTAAAAATAGAAAAACCATGTTAACACTCCTTTGGTCAAATTTTGACTTACTTGGTCATGATGCTTGTTTAGGTATTTTCTCGAATGAGTTTGAACATGGGTCATCTCGTATGAAAAACTAGGTCACAGGAGCTAAAAGTCGAATAACTTTGTTAACACTCTAGTGGTCACATTTTTGACTCAATTATCATCAAACTTCGTCAGGATGCTTGCCTAGGTAATTGCTCGGATGAGTTCGAACATTAATTATCTCGGATGAAAAACTAGGTCACAGGAGCTAAAAATAGAAAAACCTTAATAACACTCTAGTGGTCACATTTTTTTAGAGAATTTTCATCAAACTTGGTCAGGATGCTTGTCTAGGTAATTGGTTGAATGAGGTCGAACATGGGTCATTTTGGATGAAAAACTAGGTCACAGGAGCTAAAAATAGAAAAACCTTGTTAACACTCTAATGGTCACATATTTAACTCAATTATCATCAAACTTAATCAGAATGCTTGTCTAGGTAATTGCTCGGATGAGTTCGAACATGAGTCATCTCGGATGAAAAACTAGGTCACAGGAGCTAAAAATAGAAAAACCTTTTTAACACTAGTGGTCACACTTTTTTCTGAATAATCATCAAACTTGGTTAGGATGCTTATCTAAGTAATTGCTTGGATGAGTTTGAACATGGGTCATCTCGGGTGAAAAACTAGGTCACAGGAGCTAAAAATAGAAAAATCTTGTTAACACTCTTGTGGCTACTGTGTTGATCAAAATATCATTGAAATTGGTCTGGAAGTCTGCTTTGATGATTTCTAGGTCAAGTTTGAATATGGGTCACCTGGGGCCAAAAACTAGGTCACACTGCTCAAATATGGATAATCCTTGTTAACATTCTAGTGGTCACATTTTTGACTCACCTGTCATGACACTTGGTCAGAATGCTTGTCTAGGTAATTGTTCGGATGAGTTCGATTGGTCAAGTGAGCGATCTAGGGCCATCTTGGTCCTCTTGTTTATTAAAGTAAAAACTTTGGTATACACATTTCAAGATAGCCCTTATCGAATTTTTTTGGTCACTAGTTCAAAAGTCAGTCCCAATTTCCTGGCCACATGACTAATTGGCTGCCGATGGGGGGCATACATGTTTTACAAACATATCTTGTTATTAATTATTTTTATTTTTTCTATAACTGAACACTTCCATTTACCAACTTATGGCATATGTGTATAAGGTAGTTACCAGTAGTATGGTTCAAGGGCTAAAAAGGGGCCATATGTGTCGTTCGACATTTCTTGTTCTACTTTTCTTTCTTTACTAATGATACATGTGGTTAAACCAACGTGTTTAGCTGTTGGTAACGTGGGTTGATATAGAACTGATTTTCTGTATAAGACGTTTAAAAGTAGCAGAAAACGCTCACAAAGTACAATACTATATATTATAATATATTATATTATCTTTTATTTTAGTTTGATTCCTTTTGGCTTTGGTTCCCGAAAATGTCTAGGGAGTCATTTATCCTCATCAATTTTGTTCATGCATTTGTCGTCAATATTCAGACGTTGGAAATGTGTGTCTCCGCCAGGTGCTACAATGTCTTGTGATCCTAGAGACCAAAAATTTTTTGAAAACAAGGTTACCTTACGCCCGAAACCTTTCTACGGACGTTTTGAGGAAAGATTCTAGTATGATGTGTAATCTCAAGATAAATGAGATTATCACAGGCGTCTAGCAGTCAATGATATTATCACAGGCATCTAGCAGTCAATGACATCATCACAGGCATCTAGCAGTCAATGACATCATCACAGGCATCTAGCAGTCAATGAGATCATCACAGGCATCTAGCAGTCAAAATTTATATACATTATTTAATTCAAGTTTATTATCTGTAAAATCACATTAATCACATTAATCATATTTAAATCAAACTGGAAATATTGTAAACGTTAAACTAACAGTGAGAATATATCATTCGAAAACATGTTTTTCTCTATAATTACATCATCATTGTGTATATGCTTTTGCTTTCAACCAATTACTTTTCAATTATCCAAATCACAGTTCTATAACTAGCTGTAAATATTAAGTTGACTTTTTTTTAAAAGAAATTGTGATGATTTGCCAATCTATTCGTCGCACATATGCAAAGACGGGGGTAAATAATCTTTAAATATTTTCTTATTTGATTGATTATATTGTCAAGCCAGGACATTAAATACGTTCTGTTGATAGACAAAATGGTTATATTCTGAATATAGTCAACGCCACGATAAATTAGTTATCTCTTTTCAGTATCCGTTATATTATTATTAAATAATGCTTATAAAAACGCTTGTTTTGAAATCCTTATAACATAGTACATAATCGTGGGCATTTTTATTTTGTTGAGTCATGTAATAAATTTAATTGATCATTTATTAATCAATAAATCGACACAATGGAAACTATAACTGGACACCAAAAATATAAAAAAGCCTTTGAGAAATTAAAATTTAAGGCATTTTGGGGGAATAGTGGGCCTAAAATGCCAGTTAAACATGGCGCTAATGGACGTTCTATTTGAGCCGACATTTTTTCCGTTGATCTTCTTCGATCTAAACAACGCATTTGCACCCCATAAGCAACCTATTTCTCCACAAGTACAAGTATGTACGGAATAAAACCCATAATGTCACTTGACATACTTGAAGTACGTTGATACACACAAATAATTGTATCATAGTCCCCATAATTATCTAGATATTGAATTATGCACACGGTTAAATAGCAAAGACTTCAATAACCCAAAACGATGTCAGGTAAATTACTTGTCCGTTGAATACTTCACAATGTATTATCCATGCATACTTTTCATGAGCAAAGCATATATGAATTATTATCATGTACCGTTCAATATTCTGGATTTTTTAGTCACCAAGACCTATAGCTTTCATTTTTAAAAAAATGACAGTCTGAATAAAACTACTAAGATTAACACTTTGTTGTTTTTTAGCTCACCTGAGCAATGCTCAGGGTGAGCTATTGTGATGGCCCTGTGTCCGTCGTCGTGCGTAGTGCGTCGTCAACTTTTGAACATAAACAACATCTCCTCTGAAACCAATGACTGCACATCAACCAAACTTTACAGAAATGATCCTTGGGTGGTCCCCTTTCAAAGTTGTTCAAATGGTTCCGGTCTGTTGCATATGCAGGTCATAGGGCCAGAAAAAGGATTTCAAAAAACACAAAATTAAAAAGAATCTTTTGTCTGAAAGTAATGGGCCAGAGCTTTGATTTTTGGTATATGGTATCATCTATGGGTCCTCTACCAAACTTGTTCAATTTTGTCCCTAGTGTCAAAATTGGCCCCGCCCGGGGTCATAGGTTTTTCCTTATATGTATATAGTAAAATCTAAAAAAATCTCTGATTTGGCAAAGGCTACAGATTAGATATTTGGCATGAAAGATTGTGTAGTAGACCTCTATCAAGATTGTTCAAATAATGGCCCTCGGGTCTAAATTGGCCCCGCCCTCGGGGGTCATTGATTTTCATAATATACATATATTGAAAACTTTTCTGGTCTGAAAGTAAATGGACTAGAGCTTTGATATTTGGTCTATGGTATCATCTATAGGTCCAAAACCAAAGTTGTTCAAATTTTGTTCCTAGAATTTAAATCGGCCCCGCCCTGGGGGGGGGGGGCATAGGTTTTTCTTTATATGTATATTGTAAAACCTAAAAAAAATCTACTTCTCTGAATTTGTAAAGGCTACAGGTTAGATATTTGGCATGACACATATTCTAGTGAGTGTCTATCAAGTTTCTTCAAATAAAAGCCCTAGGGTCAAAATTGGCCCCGCCCTAGGGGGTCTTTGATTTTCCCTATATGCATATAGTAAAAATCTTCTTTTAAATAACCCAAAGAGTTAGAGCTAAGATATTTAGCATGAAACATGTTCTAATGGTTGTCTACCAGGTTTGTTCAAATAAAAGCCCTGGGGTCAAAATTGGCCCCGCCCCAGGGGTCTTTGATTTCCCTATATGCATATAGTAAAAACTTAAAAATCTTCTTTTAAAAAACCCAAATAGCTAGAGCTAAGATATTTAGCATGAAACATCTTCTAGTGGGTGTCTACCAAGTTTGTTCAAATAAAAGCCATGGGGTCAAAATTGGCCCCGCCCCAGGGGGTCATTGATTTTCCCTATATACATAGAGTAAAAACTTAAAAATATTCTTTTAAATAACCCAAAGAGCTAGAGCTAAGATATTTAGCATGAAACATCTTCTAATGGGTGTCTACCAAGTTTGTTCAAATAAAAGCCCTGGGGTCAAAATTGGCCCCGCCCCAGTGGTTATTGATTTTCCCTATATACATAGAGTAAAACTTAAAAATCTTCTTTTAAAGAACACAAAGAACTAGAGCTAAGATATTTAGCATGAAACATGTTCTAATGGATGTCTACCAAGTTTGTTCAAATAAAAGCCCTTGGGTCGAAATTGGCCCCGCCCCAGGGGGTCATTGATTTTCCATATATGCATATTGTAAAAACTTAAAAATCTTCTTTTAAAGAACCCAAAGAGCTAGAGCTAAGATATTTAGCATGAAACATGTTCTAATGGATGTCTACCAAGTTTGTTCAAATAAAAGCCCTGGGGTCAAAATTGGCCCCGCCCCAGGGGGTCATTGATTTTCCCTATATGCATATAGTAAAAACTTAAAAAATCTTCTTTTAAAGAACACAAAGAACTAGAGCTAAGATATTTAGCATGAAACATGTTCTAATGGATGTCTACCAAGTTTGTTCAAAATAAAAGCCCTTGGGTCGAAATTGGCCCCGCCCCAGGGGGTCATTGATTTTCCCTATATGCATATTGTAAAAACTTAAAAATCTTCTTTTAAAGAACCCAAAGAGCTAGAGCTAAGATATTTAGCATGAAACATGTTCTAATGGATGTCTACCAAGTTTGTTCAAATAAAAGCCCTGGGGTCAAAATTGGCCCCGCCCCAGGGGGTCATTGATTTTCCCTATATGCATATAGTAAAAACTTAAAAATCTTCTTTTAAAGAACCCAAAGAGCTAGAGCTAAGATATTTAGCATGAAACATGTTCTAATGGATGTCTACCAAGTTTGTTCAAATAAAAGCCCTGGGGTCAAAATTGGCCCCGCCCCGGGGGTCATTGATTTTCCTTTTGTGTGTATATAGCAAAAACTTAAAAATCTTCTTTGAAAAAAAAACAAATAGCTAAAGATTAGATACTAAGCATGAAACATCTTCTTGTGAGTGTCTACAAAGTTTGTTCAAATAAAAGCCTGGGGTCAAAATTGGCCCAACCCCGGGGGTTATTTATTTTCCTTATAATTATGTGTATAGCAAAAACTTAAAAAATCTTTTTTGAAAAAAACTCAGATAGCTAGAGTTTAGATATTAAGCATGAAGCATCTTCTAGTGAGTGTCTACAAAGTTTGTTCAAATAAAAGCCCTGGGGTCAAAATTGGCCCCGCTCTGGGGGACATTGATTTTCTTTATATGTGTTTAGCAAAGACTTAAAAATCTTCTTTGAAAAAACCCGAATAGCTAGAGTTTAGATATTAAGCATTTTTCTAGTAAGTGTCTACAAAGATTGTTCAAATAAAAGCCCTGGGGTCAAAACTGGCCCTGCCCCAGGGGTGTCATTGTTTTTAACTATATGTTTAAAGAAAAAACTTTAAAAATCTTCTTTTGAAAAACCCATCGAGCTAGACCTTAGATGTTTAGCATAAAACATCTTCTAATGGTTGTCTACCAAGTTTGTTCAAATAAAAGCCCTGGGGTTTAAACTGGCTCTGCTCCAGGGGCCTATAAACAGGTGAGCGACTTCAGGGCCATCATGGCCCTCTTGTTTTCTCTTGTGATTGTTGTTAATTATTTTGTTGTTGTTGTTGCACAGTGCCCTAGAAGGGTTTTGCCTCCCTATCTGTTAATGTTGAAGGTGTTCATCATTATTTACTCAACTCAAGATTATCAAAAGAAATACATAGATATCAATCAATACTTACTGATTCTGTGTTATATGTAAACATTGATAAATTATCATATATATAGAATAATAAACACTAAAGGAATCGGTATCAAAAGTTCAGTTTAAAATTACAACATAGTTCTGAAAAAGTTACCCAATCAATTGGTTGAGAATCGTTTGAATCAATTTCTGGCGGCATTTTTCCCTGGTTATTCATGTTATGATATCAATATATCAATATCAATATTTTTATTCTCTCATGTAATCTGATCAATATATAAGCACTGTCTTCAAGTCAAACGTGTCTGACACTTGAATAGATATAATTCGCTCGCACTTAATATCCATATACATTCAAATCGGGACACGGACCCATTTGAGCTTCAAGAACAATAAGCTTCTATGTTGAAAAAATGAATATGTTACATAAGTGTACACAGGTCAATGAGTGTTTTAGGGTTGTATAAAACGTACTTATATATATTTCATAGTAAAAACATCTTGTTTGGCATACATTTCTATATATATATATACTTTCCCTAATATAAAAAGAACAATTAACATGTTTTTCACTATTTATACATTTTTGATATTTTGCTATTTCAATTAAACAGAGAATTTTGTAAAACTTGAAACATATTAAATATGAAAAAAAAATCTCCAGGGCGCGAAAAATAGTTTTATATCACGTAATTTTGGCCGATAGGGCTGCTAAGAAGCAGCTTATATATATATATATATATATATATATATATATATATATATATATATATATATATATATAATATATATATATATATATATATATATATATATATATAAGTAAAATCTCTAACTTGCCGTATATAAGCAAAAACGCTAATTTAAATTTGCCGTAGCTTTCGGCCTTGCGGCCTTCTTCAGCAGCATTTATTCTACATACAAATATATCAAACAAAACAATGGAAGTGACGTAACGTCAATGAACGACGCCCGCCGTGGCGTTGTTTGCCGTCTGCCGCGTTATTCTTTGGTATTGACTCCATACGGTCTATAGGTTCTTAATTTATTTTTCCACACATTTTCTATTGTTTTTCTGTATTGGTCATTCCCGTATAGCTTTTCCAGCCCCATTATTGTAAAATCATTAACTGTGTGGTCGTTCGTGTAAAAATGCGCCGCTAACGGATCGTTGTACTTGGTTCGTATTCTGGATAAATTTAGAAGGTGTCTTTGGTACAACGTATCCCCTGTTTCTCCAACATAAATATAACGTTCGCAACGCTTACAATAAACTGCATACACAACATTCGTAGATTTGCACGTGATCTGATTTCGAACCTTATACGAGGCCCCGTTCACACCAATGAATGTGTCTGCTTCAATAACGTACGGACAAATCGCACACTTTTTGGATCTGCAAGGAGCACAGGAATTCGGCTGTTGAAAAAATAGTTTATTGTGTTTCTTATGAACGAGAATGTCTTGTAGATTATTATCTCTTCTAAATGCCGCAATTGGAGGATTCGGGAATATTTCCTTCATTCTATCTATATTTTATTCTTGGATGAAGGTTATTCCCAAGCTCATGGAATGTTTTAACGAAGGCCGCAAGGCCGAAAGCTACGGCAAATTTAAATTAGCGTTTTTGCTTATATATATTTATATATATATATTCGTGCCCCAGAAATACTTTTATTCTATCAAATCAACATTTTTGTTTAGTGTTAATCAGTATGGTCCAACATTTCGATTACCAAATGTTTTATAGTGTAACAAGGCACCGTTTACTCTTACAGAGAACAGAACCAACACTTCATTGCCACTGTCAAGTTAATTATATGGTTCTTTCTTGGTTATTGTGTTGTTTTCAGATCGCTTTCTCTTTCACATGGTGATTTTTACATCTTGTGATTTATCGACTCCGGTATAAATCTGTATACATGTATGTAGAAAATTATATGCGCAATCATACTTGACATAGTTTATCTGATTTCCAGTACCGTCCATGAACAGGCTCAATCAAACCGAGCCTGCAACATTTTCAATTTTGCCGTGTTGGGCTTTCTTTAGGGATTCTGTATTTATCTATTTGGTCAGTTGGACAATTGCTATTCCTAGTTTTCTATCACGGTTTTATATTTTACTTCTTAAGGGTTGTCAAGAAAGATCTTTTATATTAATTCAATAACTTTACAACTGTCCGTGTCAGTTTAATTATCTGATTCTCTGTGTA